TCGCGAGGGGCGGGGCCTGTTGCTGGGGCTGGCGCAGGAAACGGGGAGAAGGGGCCAGTCCTACTGGCTGCCTGTTTGGGCTGCTTGTTTACTCCTGGCGGGGGAGCTTTAACCCGAAGGGCGGGAGGGAGAGAGGGAAAACGCGGACTGGATGTCTGAGCCGCTGGAGCAGGAGTGGAGCGGAGGAGGAGGGGAGGAGGGGACTGCAGCGGAGGTGCCAAGGCCGCCGCGTTCTTGGAAGGATCCAGCAAAAGACGCCCTGGATAGTCGTTTTTGTGTTTGTGTTTGTGTGTGTGCGGTTTTTTTTTTTTTTTTGGAAGGGGAGTGTTGTGTTTTTTAAAAATCCTAGTCTGTTCCTCCTCCTCCTCCACACACACACACACACACACACACACACACACACCCTCACACACTATTTGGTGAAGGGTGTGCGCACGCAGTTCTTTCGGCCCTGAAATTCCTTAATCCTAGAGCGATCTCCCCAGAGGAGAGGGCTGTGCCTACGTGCTCACAGGGATTTTTGCCTCATGAGGTGGTTGTCTGTGTGCGTGCTGTCCCTCAGTAGGGCTCCGCCACTTTTCTTAATCCAGGAAATGATTCAATTGCAGTATCGTCGTTTATTTTGCGTGCCTGCGTGTGGCTACAGTTACACAGATAAGTTAATTTTTGTCTATATTCTAGGCATTCCAGCCTCTTGAGCGTCCTTGTCTAACTTGTAGATGAGAGAGCTTTTCCTAAAATGCAAAGTGTTCCGTCAATATATTCACTTAAACACAGAGGACCGCTGGCAGTGTTGCAATACCTTCCTCAAATATTGTTTTTCATTATCTGAAAAACCACCTGGTACCTTACAGAGATACTGTAACATGTAATTTAATATTGTACCAGTAACTACCATGTAACCATTTTATACACGAGGAATTGAGGCTCAAAAAGACTCAGTGGCTTGTTAAGAAGTCAGCTAGTCCAAGAGCACAAGAACACAAATCCTTTGACTCCCAAAAGGTGTCTCTCCCCCACACACCCCACTGTGGAGTGACATATGTAATTTTCTCTGACCAGCATTGATTCCTTTGCAATATCAATCCTCTATTCTGTGTGGTTTTATTTAAGCTCAAAACCATAGAATCCCATCCTTCTGGCAACAGTGGTCCAAATGGGTGGGAATTTTAATTAAGCAGAATCAATTAAAGTTTTTCCCTAAAATTAACGTTTGAATATGAGAGAGAAATTTTGACTTCTGCTGGTGTTGCTAAATTGGAATGTCATAGTTGATACCTGCCAGCAACAGTCTTCCCAAGTATATGAGGGAAATTCTTGTTTTTGGAGTAGGAAAGAATGAGACTAATAAGAAGGGGCAGACAGAAATGAGAGCTTTAGAGCACAAACCCTGACAACTTCGTTTAAACCTGGAGTCTGGCTGTGTCAGTGGCCAGTACAAACTCCTGGATTTCCAGTTAAGTAAGCCAACAAATTCATTTTTTTGCTTAAGCTAGCATGAATTGAGTTCCTGTCACTTGTCTCCAAAGAGAGGCCTGACTAATAAGTTTGGCACAGTGTTATTTATTTATCTCTCAGAAAATTAGTTGGGTGCTGGTCACATCTATCACTTCTTAAGTGTTCTAGTTCCCATGAGTCATAACAAGTATAAGTCCTATGGGTATGGGAAGACAGAAGAAAAATATAATTCTTCAATATTATTATATGATAAACAGCACACAATTCAACAAATTCAAATTAGAAATTGGATAGATAAAATTTCACATTGGGGTACTGTGATAGTCTCAGTCATGAAGATAAGATTGAGGTTTTTGAGATGAGATTATTACAAGGTTTTTAGTTATAACGAAAGAGGAATCGATAACAACTATTGTATCTCTTGGTTAAAACCGAAGGGTGGGAAGATAAGTGATTACTTTTACAGAAGTAATTAAAAGTACAGGACATTGAACTGCAAGGAGCAGGGGCATTTGGAGTCACAGAATCTTAGAGACAGAGGGAGTCCCTGACAGATAATTCTTCTTTCTCCTGAACAATTCTGATGATGCACAGTTAGGTAGGTCACAAGCAAATGGTGGTCAGTGGTCCACTGAGAGCAAGGAGGGATGATCCTTCACATACTTTGTCAGCTATTTTAAGAGTATAGAAATAAAATTGAGGAGGTTCTGTGTGTGTTCCTTAGGAACGTACCAGAGAGACTGGAACTGGTCTGATTCTGTTGTCATGAGAAGAAAAAATAAAATTCAAATGTGTACAGTACCGATCCCTTGCTGCTCCCTGACTTCCAGGTGGAGGATTCTTGGCTGGCTCAGTCAGCTGCTAGGTCTTTGACAAAGTTAAGAGACAGATTTCAGGGGCAGGCCATATTTTTCCACTTGAGGGAGGAGGAGAGAGGAGAAGAGGGAGTGAGGAAGCAAGAAGAACAAGGTCAAGGACAGTAGAAGAGAGAAGGAGAAGGGGAGAGAAACAGCTGTTGGT